AATGCCCTGTCTCCCAGTCGCCCCTCTTCAATGCCCTGTCTCCCAGTCGCCCCTCTTCAATGCCCTGTCTCCCAGTCGCCCCTCTTCAATGCCCTGTCTCCCAGTCGCCCCTCTTCAATGCCCTGTCTCCCAGTCGCCCCTCTTCAATGCCCTGTCTCCCAGTCGCCCCTCTTCAATGCCCTGTCTCCCAGTCGCCCCTCTTCAATGCCCTGTCTCCCAGTCGCCCCTCTTCAATGCCCTGTCTCCCAGTCGCCCCTCTTCAATGCCCTGTCTCCCAGTCGCCCCTCTTCAATGCCCTGTCTCCCAGTCGCCCCTCTTCAATGCCCTGTCTCCCAGTCGCCCCTCTTCAATGCCCTGTCTCCCAGTCGCCCCTCTTCAATGCCCTGTCTCCCAGTCGCCCCTCTTCAATGCCCTGTCTCCCAGTCGCCCCTCTTCAATGCCCTGTCTCCCAGTCGCCCCTCTTCAATGCCCTGTCTCCCAGTCGCCCCTCTTCAATGCCCTGTCTCCCAGTCGCCCCTCTTCAATGCCCTGTCTCCCAGTCGCCCCTCTTCAATGCCCTGTCTCCCAGTCGCCCCTCTTCAATGCCCTGTCTCCCAGTCGCCCCTCTTCAATGCCCTGTCTCCCAGTCGCCCCTCTTCAATGCCCTGTCTCCCAGTCGCCCCTCTTCAATGCCCTGTCTCCCAGTCGCCCCTCTTCAATGCCCTGTCTCCCAGTCGCCCCTCTTCAATGCCCTGTCTCCCAGTCGCCCCTCTTCAATGCCCTGTCTCCCAGTCGCCCCTCTTCAATGCCCTGTCTCCCAGTCGCCCCTCTTCAATGCCCTGTCTCCCAGTCGCCCCTCTTCAATGCCCTGTCTCCCAGTCGCCCCTCTTCAATGCCCTGTCTCCCAGTCGCCCCTCTTCAATGCCCTGTCTCCCAGTCGCCCCTCTTCAATGCCCTGTCTCCCAGTCGCCCCTCTTCAATGCCCTGTCTCCCAGTCGCCCCTCTTCAATGCCCTGTCTCCCAGTCGCCCCTCTTCAATGCCCTGTCTCCCAGTCGCCCCTCTTCAATGCCCTGTCTCCCAGTCGCCCCTCTTCAATGCCCTGTCTCCCAGTCGCCCCTCTTCAATGCCCTGTCTCCCAGTCGCCCCTCTTCAATGCCCTGTCTCCCAGTCGCCCCTCTTCAATGCCCTGTCTCCCAGTCGCCCCTCTTCAATGCCCTGTCTCCCAGTCGCCCCTCTTCAATGCCCTGTCTCCCAGTCGCCCCTCTTCAATGCCCTGTCTCCCAGTCGCCCCTCTTCAATGCCCTGTCTCCCAGTCGCCCCTCTTCAATGCCCTGTCTCCCAGTCGCCCCTCTTCAATGCCCTGTCTCCCAGTCGCCCCTCTTCAATGCCCTGTCTCCCAGTCGCCCCTCTTCAATGCCCTGTCTCCCAGTCGCCCCTCTTCAATGCCCTGTCTCCCAGTCGCCCCTCTTCAATGCCCTGTCTCCCAGTCGCCCCTCTTCAATGCCCTGTCTCCCAGTCGCCCCTCTTCAATGCCCTGTCTCCCAGTCGCCCCTCTTCAATGCCCTGTCTCCCAGTCGCCCCTCTTCAATGCCCTGTCTCCCAGTCGCCCCTCTTCAATGCCCTGTCTCCCAGTCGCCCCTCTTCAATGCCCTGTCTCCCAGTCGCCCCTCTTCAATGCCCTGTCTCCCAGTCGCCCCTCTTCAATGCCCTGTCTCCCAGTCGCCCCTCTTCAATGCCCTGTCTCCCAGTCGCCCCTCTTCAATGCCCTGTCTCCCAGTCGCCCCTCTTCAATGCCCTGTCTCCCAGTCGCCCCTCTTCAATGCCCTGTCTCCCAGTCGCCCCTCTTCAATGCCCTGTCTCCCAGTCGCCCCTCTTCAATGCCCTGTCTCCCAGTCGCCCCTCTTCAATGCCCTGTCTCCCAGTCTCCCCTCTTCAATGCCCTGTCTCCCAGTCGCCCCTCTTCAATGCCCTGTCTCCCAGTCGCCCCTCTTCAATGCCCTGTCTCCCAGTCGCCCCTCTTCAATGCCCTGTCTCCCAGTCGCCCCTCTTCAATGCCCTGTCTCCCAGTCGCCCCTCTTCAATGCCCTGTCTCCCAGTCGCCCCTCTTCAATGCCCTGTCTCCCAGTCGCCCCTCTTCAATGCCCTGTCTCCCAGTCGCCCCTCTTCAATGCCCTGTCTCCCAGTCGCCCCTCTTCAATGCCCTGTCTCCCAGTCGCCCCTCTTCAATGCCCTGTCTCCCAGTCGCCCCTCTTCAATGCCCTGTCTCCCAGTCGCCCCTCTTCAATGCCCTGTCTCCCAGTCGCCCCTCTTCAATGCCCTGTCTCCCAGTCGCCCCTCTTCAATGCCCTGTCTCCCAGTCGCCCCTCTTCAATGCCCTGTCTCCCAGTCGCCCCTCTTCAATGCCCTGTCTCCCAGTCGCCCCTCTTCAATGCCCTGTCTCCCAGTCGCCCCTCTTCAATGCCCTGTCTCCCAGTCGCCCCTCTTCAATGCCCTGTCTCCCAGTCGCCCCTCTTCAATGCCCTGTCTCCCAGTCGCCCCTCTTCAATGCCCTGTCTCCCAGTCGCCCCTCTTCAATGCCCTGTCTCCCAGTCGCCCCTCTTCAATGCCCTGTCTCCCAGTCGCCCCTCTTCAATGCCCTGTCTCCCAGTCGCCCCTCTTCAATGCCCTGTCTCCCAGTCGCCCCTCTTCAATGCCCTGTCTCCCAGTCGCCCCTCTTCAATGCCCTGTCTCCCAGTCGCCCCTCTTCAATGCCCTGTCTCCCAGTCGCCCCTCTTCAATGCCCTGTCTCCCAGTCGCCCCTCTTCAATGCCCTGTCTCCCAGTCGCCCCTCTTCAATGCCCTGTCTCCCAGTCGCCCCTCTTCAATGCCCTGTCTCCCAGTCGCCCCTCTTCAATGCCCTGTCTCCCAGTCGCCCCTCTTCAATGCCCTGTCTCCCAGTCGCCCCTCTTCAATGCCCTGTCTCCCAGTCGCCCCTCTTCAATGCCCTGTCTCCCAGTCGCCCCTCTTCAATGCCCTGTCTCCCAGTCGCCCCTCTTCAATGCCCTGTCTCCCAGTCGCCCCTCTTCAATGCCCTGTCTCCCAGTCGCCCCTCTTCAATGCCCTGTCTCCCAGTCGCCCCTCTTCAATGCCCTGTCTCCCAGTCGCCCCTCTTCAATGCCCTGTCTCCCAGTCGCCCCCTCTCAATGCCCTGTCTCCCAGTCGCCCCTCTTCAATGCCCTGTCTCCCAGTCGCCCCTCTTCAATGCCCTGTCTCCCAGTCGCCCCTCTTCAATGCCCTGTCTCCCAGTCGCCCCTCTTCAATGCCCTGTCTCCCAGTCGCCCCTCTTCAATGCCCTGTCTCCCAGTCGCCCCTCTTCAATGCCCTGTCTCCCAGTCGCCCCTCTTCAATGCCCTGTCTCCCAGTCGCCCCTCTTCAATGCCCTGTCTCCCAGTCGCCCCTCTTCAATGCCCTGTCTCCCAGTCGCCCCTCTTCAATGCCCTGTCTCCCAGTCGCCCCTCTTCAATGCCCTGTCTCCCAGTCGCCCCTCTTCAATGCCCTGTCTCCCAGTCGCCCCTCTTCAATGCCCTGTCTCCCAGTCGCCCCTCTTCAATGCCCTGTCTCCCAGTCGCCCCTCTTCAATGCCCTGTCTCCCAGTCGCCCCTCTTCAATGCCCTGTCTCCCAGTCGCCCCTCTTCAATGCCCTGTCTCCCAGTCGCCCCTCTTCAATGCCCTGTCTCCCAGTCGCCCCTCTTCAATGCCCTGTCTCCCAGTCGCCCCTCTTCAATGCCCTGTCTCCCAGTCGCCCCTCTTCAATGCCCTGTCTCCCAGTCGCCCCTCTTCAATGCCCTGTCTCCCAGTCGCCCCTCTTCAATGCCCTGTCTCCCAGTCGCCCCTCTTCAATGCCCTGTCTCCCAGTCGCCCCTCTTCAATGCCCTGTCTCCCAGTCGCCCCTCTTCAATGCCCTGTCTCCCAGTCGCCCCTCTTCAATGCCCTGTCTCCCAGTCGCCCCTCTTCAATGCCCTGTCTCCCAGTCGCCCCTCTTCAATGCCCTGTCTCCCAGTCGCCCCTCTTCAATGCCCTGTCTCCCAGTCGCCCCTCTTCAATGCCCTGTCTCCCAGTCGCCCCTCTTCAATGCCCTGTCTCCCAGTCGCCCCTCTTCAATGCCCTGTCTCCCAGTCGCCCCTCTTCAATGCCCTGTCTCCCAGTCGCCCCTCTTCAATGCCCTGTCTCCCAGTCGCCCCTCTTCAATGCCCTGTCTCCCAGTCGCCCCTCTTCAATGCCCTGTCTCCCAGTCGCCCCTCTTCAATGCCCTGTCTCCCAGTCGCCCCTCTTCAATGCCCTGTCTCCCAGTCGCCCCTCTTCAATGCCCTGTCTCCCAGTCGCCCCTCTTCAATGCCCTGTCTCCCAGTCGCCCCTCTTCAATGCCCTGTCTCCCAGTCGCCCCTCTTCAATGCCCTGTCTCCCAGTCGCCCCTCTTCAATGCCCTGTCTCCCAGTCGCCCCTCTTCAATGCCCTGTCTCCCAGTCTCCCCTCTTCAATGCCCTGTCTCCCAGTCGCCCCTCTTCAATGCCCTGTCTCCCAGTCGCCCCTCTTCAATGCCCTGTCTCCCAGTCGCCCCTCTTCAATGCCCTGTCTCCCAGTCTCCCCTCTTCAATGCCCTGTCTCCCAGTCGCCCCTCTTCAATGCCCTGTCTCCCAGTCGCCCCTCTTCAATGCCCTGTCTCCCAGTCGCCCCTCTTCAATGCCCTGTCTCCCAGTCGCCCCTCTTCAATGCCCTGTCTCCCAGTCGCCCCTCTTCAATGCCCTGTCTCCCAGTCGCCCCTCTTCAATGCCCTGTCTCCCAGTCGCCCCTCTTCAATGCCCTGTCTCCCAGTCGCCCCTCTTCAATGCCCTGTCTCCCAGTCGCCCCTCTTCAATGCCCTGTCTCCCAGTCGCCCCTCTTCAATGCCCTGTCTCCCTCCTCCCAGTCCGCCCCCACCCTCTCTCCGCTCCCCCCCCCTCCCTCCCCCCCCACCTGCACCCCTGCTGTGTCCCCCCCTTAGCGACGACATCTTTTCGCTGCAGCGGCGCCGGGGAAGACGCTGTGTGTGGGCGAGCTACATCTCGCTGGAGACGGCGGGCTTCCTCGCAGGGCTGGGCTTCCCCGTCTCCGTCATGCCGCGCTCCATCCTCCTGCGCGGCTTTGACCAGGTCCACCCCTGCTGCCCTGCCGCCCTGCCGCCCTGCTGCCCTTCCGCCCTGCCGCCCTGCCGCTTACTCCCCTGCTTGTAACTTCTGCCATGCTGCTGCTGATGCTGCCGCCAGCGGCGCAGGTGCTAGAGCTGCCGATGTTGTTCTTGTTACAGTTGGGCGGAGAAGGAGGAGGACTACGCAGCTTATTGAGGGTAGAGGCTGTGCATGTGGGCACCACACCTGTCATGGGTTCCGCTATGTGCCTCTTGCTGTAATATCAAGACCCACCACCTCCTTCATCCCCCCACCCTATTCCTCGTCTCTTCCGTTCCCTTGCACTTCCCCCACCCCCCTCCCCCCCCCTCGCCCTTCCCCCCCCACCCCCCTTCCCCCCGGTGGCAGGAGGTGGCGGAGCACATAGGGCTGTACATGGAGCGCCATGGCATCTCCTTCATCCGCCCCGCTGTGCCCACCCGCTTCGACCGCACTGCTGACGGCAAGGTGCGTGCACGTGGGGGACGGACTGAGACAGGCAGATTGGCCTCCCTGGTGTGGTGTGGAGGCACGCAGTTGTGAGGGGCGGACTGGGAGGAGGGGGATGAGAGAGGGGACTGGAAGGATGTGAGGTTGTGGGGGAGGGCGGGCAAAGACATTGATGGGGCCATGGTGTCAATGGGGATGTGATGGACCTGCCCGCTGCAGCGCCCACGCCCTCACTCTTGGTGCCTGCGTGCATGCCCCTTGCACTCACATGTCACTGCACTCCACCTGCTGCCCTTCCCTCATCTCTGTATCATCACTCCTTTTATCTCTCTTCCGTCCCTTCCTCCCTCCCTCCCTCCTCCCTCCTACTCCCTCCCTCCCTCCCTCCCTCCCTCCCTCCCTCCCTCCCTCCCTCCCTCCCTCCCTCCCTCCCTCCCTCCCTCCCTCCCTCCCTCCTCCCTCCCTCCCTCCCTTCCCCCTCCCTCCCTCGCTTCCTCTGTCCGTCCGTCCGTCCCTCCCTCCCTGCGTTCCCCACGCCCTGCTTCCTGTGTGTGTGTGTGAGGCCAGGTGGCGGTGACGTACAAGCGCATGGACACGGGAGCGGAGGGCAGGGAGGAGTTTGACACCTCGTCTCCCTCCCTCCCTCCCTCCCTCCCTCCCTCCCTCCCTTCCCCCCTCCCTCCCTCGCTTCCTCTGTCCGTCCGTCCGTCCCTCCCTCCCTGCGTTCCCCACGCCCTGCTTCCTGTGTGTGTGTGTGAGGCCAGGTGGCGGTGACGTACAAGCGCATGGACACGGGAGCGGAGGGCAGGGAGGAGTTTGACACAGTCGTCATCGCAGTGGGCCGCGACGCTCAGACACAAGAACTCGTGCGCTGCTGCTGCCCATGCTCTTTCCCTCCCTCCCCTCACGCACATCCCTCCGCCACACTGCTCGTTGCTGATCCTTGTCGCTGGGCCTTCCCCTCGCCCCTTGCTCCCATCTTGTCCCCAGTGCCTCTCTCTTCTTCCCCCGTTCCACCCCGCCCCTCCCCCATCCCTTCCCCCCCCTTCCCCACCCACCCCGTTCCCCACTCGTCCTCCGTTTTTGATTTCATCACTAGCTTTCGTTTCCCGGCCTTTCTCCGTTTTCAACCGGGCCTGCTCCATGCTCTTTCCTCCCTATTCCAAAAACATCAAATGGCTGCTTACGTTTCTATTTTCCTGCCTTCGTTTCCCATGTGGCGTGTGTGCGTGTGGGTACGGGTGCGGGTGTGGGTGTGGTTGTGTGTGCGTGTGTGCGCATCAGAACCTGGCAGCAGCAGGAGTGGACGTGAATCCCCTCACGGGCAAGATTATCGCACCGGAGGAGCAGGTGGGTGGGGGGCATGGCGCCATGACAATGGAGAGTTGTCGAACAGGGGAGAGGGAGAGGGAAAGGGAAAGTGAGTAGGAGAGTGGGAGAGTGGGAGAGTGGGAGCTGGGGAGTGAAGCAGTGTGGGCTGTAGGGTTGAGGGGTTTATGCGAGTGTGTGTGACGAGCTCAGCTGCATGTGGTTGTGGTGCTATTGTGCGTCGCCTTCCACCCTCGCCCCTCGTGCTTGCCATGGCTATCAACACATGCCCACTGCCTCCCTGCTCTCCGCCTCTCTCTTTCACCGTGCCTCCTCTTTCTGTTCCTGCCCCTTCCCGTCCTCTTTCAAACCCCACTCCCTCTGCTCTGTCTCTTGATCTCCCTGAATGTACCCTGCCTGCCTACATGCGTGCCTCTGTCCCTGCCTGTGCCTGCATGCGTGGTTCCCATGCGGCTGTGCACGCAGACGTCGGCGCCGCACATATACGCGATAGGGGACGTGCTGGACACGCGGCAGGAGCTCACCCCCGTTGCCATCAAGGCGGGCCAGCTGCTGGCGCACCGCCTCTTCGCCGGCTCCTCCCAGCGCATGGACTACAACCTGGTGGGGGGGGTCACGGGGGGGAATACGGGCACGACATGGCAGGGGGGGGGGGAGAGGGAGGAGGAGGGGATTATGTGTGCACAGGGTTGGGTTTGAGGGGAGGGGATGGAGAGCGGTGATTGGGAAAGGGGGAGGGGATGTGGGGCTGTTTGGAGGTGAGGCTGGGATGGATGGGGTGGGCGGTGCAGTGATGCTCTGCGTGGCTTGGTGCAGTGATGCTCTGTGTGGGTTGGTGCAGTGATGCTCTGCGTGGCTTGGTGCAGTGATGCTCTGTGTGGGTTGGTGCAGTGATGCTCTGTGTGGCTTGGTGCAGTGATGCTCTGTGTGGCTTGGTGCAGTGATGCTCTGTGTGGCTTGGTGCAGTGATGCTCTGTGTGGCTTGGTGCAGTGATGCTCTGTGTGGCTTGGTGCAGTGATGCTCTGTGTGGGTTGGTGCAGTGATGCTCTGTGTGGGTTGGTGCAGTGATGCTCTGCGTGGCTTGGTGCAGTGATGCTCTGTGTGGGTTGGTGCAGTGATGCTCTGTGTGGCTTGGTGCAGTGATGCTCTGTGTGGGTTGGTGCAGTGATGCTCTGTGTGGCTTGGTGCAGTGATGCTCTGTGTGGCTTGGTGCAGTGATGCTCTGTGTGGCTTGGTGCAGTGATGCTCTGTGTGGCTTGGTGCAGTGATGCTCTGTGTGGCTTGGTGCAGTGATGCTCTGTGTGGCTTGGTGCAGTGATGCTCTGTGTGGCTTGGTGCAGTGATGCTCTGTGTGGCTTGGTGCAGTGATGCTCTGTGTGGCTTGGTGCAGTGATGCTCTGTGTGGCTTGGTGCAGTGATGCTCTGTGTGGCTTGGTGCAGTGATGCTCTGTGTGGCTTGGTGCAGTGATGCTCTGTGTGGCTTGGTGCAGTGATGCTCTGTGTGGCTTGGTGCAGTGATGCTCTGTGTGGCTTGGTGCAGTGATGGTCTGTGTGGGTTGGTGCAGTGATGCTCTGTGTGGGTTGGTGCAGTGCAGTGGTGACCTATGGCAGCTGCCATTGTGCGTGTCACAGGCATGCCGCCTCCAACCTCCACTCTTCACCACTCTGTTTCCCCGCGTCTCTTCCCACGCCTGCATGAATGAATGTGTGCGTTCCATGCTGTGGTGTGTGCGAGGGGAGGGAGGGTGGGGTTGTGGTGGGGTGGGGTGGGGGGTTGTGGGGTTGGCATGGTGTGGGTGTGGTGTGGGTGTGGGTGTGGGTGTGGGTGTGGGTGTGGGTGTGGGTGTGGGTGTGGGTGTGGGTGTGGGTGTGGGTGTGGGTGTGGGTGTGGGTGTGGGTGTGGGTGTGGGTGTGGGTGTGGGTGTGGGTGTGGGTGTGGGTGTGGGTGTGGGTGTGGGTGTGGGTGTGGGTGTGGGTGTGGGTGTGGGTGTGGGTGTGGGTGTGGGTGTGGGTGTGGGTGTGGGTGTGGGTGTGGGTGTGGGTGTGGGTGTGGGTGTGGGTGTGGGTGTGGGTGTGGGTGTGGGTGTGGGTGTGGGTGTGGGTGTGGGTGTGGGTGTGGGTGTGGGTGTGGGTGTGGGTGTGGGTGTGGGTGTGGGTGTGGGTGTGGGTGTGGGTGTGGGTGTGGGTGTGGGTGTGGGTGTGGGTGTGGGTGTGGGTGTGGGTGTGGGTGTGGGTGTGGGTGTGGGTGTGGGTGTGGGTGTGGGTGTGGGTGTGGGTGTGGGTGTGGGTGTGGGTGTGGGTGTGGGTGTGGGTGTGGGTGTGGGTGTGGGTGTGGGTGTGGGTGTGGGTGTGGGTGTGGGTGTGGGTGTGGGTGTGGGTGTGGGTGTGGGTGTGGGTGTGGGTGTGGGTGTGGGTGTGGGTGTGGGTGTGGGTGTGGGTGTGGGTGTGGGTGTGTGCACGCATGGCGCTCTCCCCCAGGTACCAACGACAGTGTTCACGCCATTGGAGTACGGGTGCATAGGCATGGCGGAGGAGCTCGCCATCGCCACCTATGGCCCCGACAACATCGAGGTTCCCGCCCCTCCCTGCATTGCCCATTCCACCCATGCCCTGCCCTGCCATGCCCTGCCATGCCCTGCCATGCCCTGCCCTGCCCTGCCCTGCCATGGCCCGCCGTGCAGTGCTGACTGCATGTTCTTCCTTTCCCAGTGCACGCTGTCTTACGCGTCCCTGTTCTGGTCTAGTTGCATATTGATTTGTCTATAGATCCTGCTATGGCATGGCACATCGCTTGTGTGGATTGTCTGCATTGTTTTACTTCCACTGCCTCTCCTATCGCGCCGTGCTGTGCGTATCCCACTCATGCACATCACCCTCGCCTGCACTCACTCTCCCTGCTGCTGTGATGCCAAGCCTCGTCCTCATCTGCAACCCACCCCACTCCGCTCCACCCCACCCCACCCCACCCGGCTGTACGGCATGCGGCATGGCATGGGGCAGGTGTACCACTCGTACTTCAAGCCGCTGGAGTGGCAGGTGAACCACGAGGAGAGCAACGGCGTGTCGCACCGCGAGGACAATGTGTGCTATGCCAAGGTGTGCCCGCCACCACTCCCACCACTCACCACCCGCCATTCATGCATGGCGCTCGCTGCTGTGTCAGGGGCAATCGTCGGATATGGAGGTGTGCGCTGTGGGAGCTAGGGGCAGCTGAATCTCAGAGTCGGGGCAATTGCAGCTGCTTCACTCCATTGCTGCTGCTGTGTTGTTGTTGTGGTGCTCTGTGCGAGAGTGTTTTGCACGTTCGCTTCTCTCTTCAACCGACCCATTCCCGCATTGCTCTCCCAATGCTTGTGTTCGTGGCTGTGTGTGTGTGTGTGTGTGTGTGTGTGTGTGTGTGTGTGTGTGTGTGTGTGTGTGTGTGTGTGTGTGTGTGTGGCTCTGTGGGTGGGTGTGTGTGAGAGGGAGAGAGAGAGCCGTGCATGGGAGCAGCTGGTGTGCAACAAGCTGGACAGCGACCGCGTGCTGGGGCTGCACGTCGTGGGACCCAACGCCGGGGAAATCACTCAGGTGCGCTGGGGCAACGGGAACAGGGCGAGCGGTTAAGGGGAGTGCAGGTTAAAGGGGAGGGGGAAGTTTGGGGAGGTCTGACAGTGAGGAAGGGTGGTAGGGATTGGCACAGGCTGGTGCCAAGTAAGTGGCGGAGTGGGATTTGCGTGGCACCTCTTGTGATGCTACTTGCACGATTGTCACCTCACTGTCAACTCATTGCCTTCCACTCCACTCACCCCGCCTTGCTTGCCATGCCACCACACCAGTCCTCACACAGCGTGCCCGGCACAGCCTAACACTGAGAGACGTGGCATACTGTGGCAGGCGCATGAAAGTCCTCTCTCACCCCGTTCCTTTCCCTGCCCGCCGCCCCTGCACCTTGTCTGCCCCCCTGCACTCACCACCCAACTTCCCCCTCCTCCCCCCGGTCACATGGCAGGGCTACGCGGTGGCGATGCGCATGGGGGCGTGCAAGGCGGACTTTGATGCAACAGTGGGCATCCACCCCACCATGAGCGAGGAGTTCACTTCAATGCGTATCACGCGCCGCTCTGGCCTCAGCCCCTACAAGACCGGCTGCTGAGGCTAAGCGCCCGCTGCTTTCCCCCACTCCTCCTCCTCCTCGCACTCTCTCTTGTCTAGCACTGCTGCACGCCGTGCGCACACATGAGCTGTCATGCGTGGTGTGCACGTGCAGGCAGTGAATGGAAGTGAACGAGAGAGAGAGAGAGATAGGGGTTGTAACGGAGGGGTGGTGGGAGATGCAGCGGGTGTGCGGCACACGCGTGGGCTGCCCTTCCCCCTGGTAGAGACACCCGCTGTGACATGGGTGTTGGTCTGTCAGGGGGGTGGCGCAGCAGGGGGTTGAGTGCAGAGGGCTTTATGACGGCGGTCTCCTCAAGGCCTGTGGGCCCGGAGCCTGCCCGACCCCGCCTTGCTGCCATGGCATGCACAGGTACAGGCACGGCACATGGTGAGCAGCACGTGGAGAGTCCGGCCTCAAGAGCATGTTGCTCAGTCACACCACTCACTCACCCGTGCCTTGCTGCTTGCTGCCATGGACGTCAAGAGGGCCTTCTTGCGCCGCACGGCTGTTGTAGAAAGGCACCATACTGCACTGCACGGTTCTCAAGGGTGCCGCAGGTGGTGCCTGGCTTCTCCACAGCATGTGGCCCCCACCACCATTGTGCCTGCTGTTAGGTTCAGAGTAACTTGCGTTGCTGTCTGCTCGAGCGAGACCAGTTGTTTGGCAGGAAGTGGCATCACAGACCACAGAACTTGTCTTTGTACAGCCTGTCATGTCCGTTTGGGTTCAGTTTGTCACTGCGTGTGTCTTTTCTATCCCAGCCATGTACATTTGATTGGATGCCATGCCACTGCCTGGCGCCCACACAGTGCAAATTTAAACTTGGTGAAGGAATGGCAGTGAGGAGAGAGCCCATGACAAGGGTGTGAGGGTACTTAAAGCAGCAGTATACATTTGAAAGTACTGTTGATTTTGGAACAGTACCCACCAAAAGCAAACCCCAACGAAAACGAACAGGCTTGGCGAGAGGGTCGGCGAAAGTTTGGAAGGCTGTTAGTTGCGAACACGAGAAACTCTCCCGTCACCCAACACCTGGAGTGACACTCAGACACTAGGAAATGCCTTTCCACAGGCAATACAAAAGGTGACTAAGGGGGCCGAGGAGTAGCGGTACCACTAAGAAACTCGCTGTTGTTAAGGGGACACGTGTCACAAGCATTTCTACAACACCCTACTCTCTGATGACTAGACTCGTTCTAAGGCCTCGCACGCGATGTAGGAATAGCCTTCGAAGAGGCGCGCCGCATTCCATGCGCTCTCCTCGCTGGCGATATTCTCGCGAAACCTGCAGCTCGATCGCCGAACCCGCAGCTCACGACACCCTCTTAGCGCGTCACCCGCGACTCGCCTAATGCCACTCTGCGCGCCCCACCGCTTAGTGCCTAACCGCTAAGCGCCTCACAGCGAAAAGCGCACGATCGCTAAGCGAGCGCCTCACCGCATAGCGCCTCACCGCTCACGCACTGCGATTCCTCTCAAGTTTTAGTGCAGGCGAGTGCTTCTCGAACCCATAGCTCGCCTCTCTTAGCACTCTCACCCTCTGCTGGCCTCACCTGCTGCTCGCGTCTCTCTCAAAATGCTGCGCTCCGCGAGGCGTTCGCCTCACGCGCTGCTTGCCACCGTTGAATGGGCGCATCGCCATGAATGCGGGGAGCCCGTCGTCCAACCTCCTTCCCCGGACCTCTCATTTCCCCTCCCTGTTCCCTCATTTCCCCCCCTCCCTCTCTCTTTTCCCCCACTACTCCTACCCCTTGTTTCCACCTCTGCTTACCCTCGTTCCCCCCTCTCTTTTCCCTTATTTCCCCCTCTCCTCTCCCTCGTTCCCCCCTCTCCATCCCATCATTTCCCCCTCTGCTTCCCCTCGTTCCCCCTCTCCATCCCCTGATTTCCCCCTCCTTTCCCCCACTGCTTCCCTTCCTTTCCCCCACTTCTTCGCCTCCTTTCCCCCACTGCTTCCCCTCCTTTCCCCCACTGCTTCCCTCCTTTCCTCCGCTGCTTCCCCTCCTTTCCCCCACTGCATCCCCTCCTTTCCCCCACTGCTTCCCTCCTTTCCTCCGCTGCTTCCCCTCCTTTCCCCCACTGCTTCCCCTCCTTTCCCCCACTGCTTCCCCTCCTTTTCCCCCCCGTGCTTCCCCTCCTTCCCCCCGTTTCCCTCACTGCCTCCGCTCCCGCTGCCCTTCTCTCACCTGTCCATCCCTTGCCTCCCCTTCGCATACGTCTAAAGCTGTGAGCGAAATCAGACACAACTTTCCCTCACATCCCCTCTCCCTCCCCCGTTTGTTACCCATCCCTCTCCTACACCCATCCATCTCCCTCTCCTTCCCCTCGTTCCCCCCTCTCCTTCCCCTCGTTCCCCCTCGCCTTCCCCTCGTTCCCCCCTCTCCTTCCCCTCGTTCCCCCTCTCCTTCCCCTCGTTCCCCCCTCTCCTTCCCCTCGTTCCCCCCTCTCCTTCTCCTCGTTCCCCCCTCTCCTTCCCCTCGTCCCCCCCTCTCCTTCACCTCATTTCCCCCTCTGCTTCCCCTCGTTCCCCCCTCTCCTAGCCCTCATTACCCCCTCTCTGCTTCCCCTCGTTCCCCCCCCTCATCCTTGTTCACCCCACAACTTCCCCTCATTTCCTCTCATCACCTCCCCTGCTCCCTCTCACTACCTCCCCAGCTTCCAATCTTTTCTCCCTCTGCTTCCCCTCGTTTCTCCCTCTCTTTCCCTTCATTTCCGTCCCTGCTTCTCCTTTGCCTGCTTTCTCTTCGATTGCGTCTTGCCCACAGTTCCCCCCTTACCCTCCTTCCTCTGTTGTTTTCAATGCTACCGTATCACCCTCCTTTCTCTGAGTTTTTCACCTCTTCTTACGCGTTGTCTCCCCACCTGCTTGCCCTTGTTCGTCTCCACCCCCTTACCCTCCCCCCAACCCGCTCTTCCTGCACGCTTGTACTCAGTCCTCCGGATTTCCAGATCATCTTTACTCGATATCTGCTCTGTGCAGCATGGAGCACAGTGAAGTAGTAATCTCAGTCTACAATATGTGTGCCTCAATGTATCTAGCCATAACATGGTATTACAACTCATTTACATTCTGAATAATGGTAGTGGAATCCAATGGTTGTCATGTGACCTCTGTTCTTTCAAATGGGCACAGCACAGCATTGATGTAGAGAAGAGAAGCTTGAGAGGAGTATGTACACATGATAAAATCATCGCAAAACATCGTACAAGACAGCACCTTCCACTACTCTTTGTGTCGCCTTCATTCCCCCGCAAACTCGCCCGGGCCTGGCTTTGCCCTGTGTGTAGCAGGATTGCATGCAAAACCTGCAACTTTGCGTATGCTTACTGGCTGTATGACACGTGGTGTCGCAACCGTAAATAGTGGGGCCCCGAACCTATGGGAGGGAAGGCAGGGATGTGAGGAGGGAAGGCAGGGATGTGAGGAGGGAAGGCAGGGATGTGAGGAGGGAAGGCAGGGATGTGAGGAGGGAAGGCAGGGATGTGAGGAGGGAAGGCAGGGATGTGAGGAGCGCGGAGAGGAAGGAGGGGAGGAGGAGCGTTGCTCCCTACTTGCTCTCATTTCCCCCCCCTACATGCCTCCCTCCTCTCATTTCCCCCCCTACATGCCTCCCTCCTCTCATTTCCCCCCCCTACATGCCTCCCTCCTCTCATTTCCCCCCCCTACATGCCTCCCTCCTCTCATTTCCCCCCCCTACATGCCTCCCTCCTCTCATTTCCCCCCCTACATGCCTCCCTCCTCTCATTTCCCCCCCCTACATGCCTCCCTCCTCTCATTTCCCCCCCCTACATGCCTCCCTCCTCTCATTTCCCCCCCCTACATGCCTCCCTCCTCTCATTTCCCCCCCCTACATGCCTCCCTCCTCTCATTTCCCCCCCCTACATGCCTCCCTCCTCTCATTTCCCCCCCCTACATGCCTCCCTCCTCTCATTTCCCCCCCCTACATGCCTCCCTCCTCTCATTTCCCCCCCCTACATGCCTCCCTCCTCTCATTTCCCCCCCCTACATGCCTCCCTCCTCTCATTTCCCCCCCCTACATGCCTCCCTCCTCTCATTTCCCCCCCCTACATGCCTCCCTCCTCTCATTTCCCCCCCCTACATGCCTCCCTCCTCTCATTTCCCCCCCCTACATGCCTCCCTCCTCTCATTTCCCCCCCCTACATGCCTCCCTCCTCTCATTTCCCCCCCCTACATGCCTCCCTCCTCTCATTTCCCCCCCCTACATGCCTCCCTCCTCTCATTTCCCCCCCCTACATGCCTCGCTCCTCTCATTTCCCCCCCCTTGCTCCCTCGATGTTTCCCCCACTGCTCCTCTACACTTTCCCCCACTTCTCCCTCTCATTTCCCCCCTTTATCCATCTCATTCCCCCCCCGTCTCCCCCTCATTGGCCCCACTTCTTCCTCTCATCTCCTCCCTTGCTCCATTTCCAACTCTGCTCCCCCTGACTTCTCCATCTTCTCCTCTCGTTTTACCCTTCTCCCCCTCCCCCCCCCCCCCCCCCTTTCCATCTTCTCCTTTCCCCCAACCCCGTCCGCGGGGTGAGTGAGCTGGCGGGGAAGGGAGAGGAATAAGAGGGGACGGGGGAAGTGCGGATGGCAAGGAGGATTTGAGGGGGAAAAGAGGAGAAGAGAGGGTAAGAGAAGCAGGGGGGAAAACTGAGAGCAGGGGGGAAAACTGAGAGCAGGGGGGAAAAACTGAGAGCAGGGGGGAAAACTGAGAGCAGGGGGGAAAAACTGAGAGCAGGGGGAAAACTGAGAGCAGGGGGGAAAAACTGAGAGCAGGGGGGAAAAACTGAGAGCAGGGGGGAAAAACTGAGAGCAGGGGGAAAAAACTGAGAGCAGGGGGGAAAAACTGAGAGCAGGGGGGAGCAGAGGAAGAAAGGAGGAGCAGTGGGTGGAAAGAGGTGCAGTAAGGGAAAGGATGAGCAGAGGGGGGAAAGATAAGCAGAGGGGGACAAGAGGAGCAGAGGGGGAAAAGAGGAGCAGAGAGGGAAAGAGGAGCAGAGGGGGAAAGTAAAGTAGGGGGGAAAAAGAGGAACAGAGGGGGGAAAGAGGAGCAGTGAGGGAAAAGAGGAGAAGAGGGGGAGAAGAGAAGCAGAGGGGGAAAAAGAGCGGAGGTGGGAAAGTTGAGAAGATGGGGAAAGAGGAGCAGAGGGGGAAAATAGGGGAAGCAGACGGGGAAATGGTGGGAGGCAGGGGGGGAGATGAAGGAGGAAGAGAAGGAGTGGCGGGAGGACGAGAGTCGCGGGAGGACGAGACGGCACGGCGGGAGGGGGAGGAGGCATGGTGGGAGGAGGAGAAGGCATGGTGGGAGAAGTCATGGTGGGAGGAGGAGAGGGGGTGGCGGGAGGAGGAGAAGGCATGGCGGGAGGAGGAGTGGGGGTGGCGGGAAGAGGAGAAGGGGAGAAATGAGGGCAAGCAGGGGGAGAAATGCGATCGTGCAAGGGGGAAAACAAGGCGTACAAGGGAGAAAATGAGGGCGTGCAAGGTGGGGAAACGAGGGCAAGCAGGGAGGGAAAACGAGGGCGTACATGTGGGGAAGTGAGGGCGTTCAAGGGGGGTGCAGCGTGGATGCGGAAGCACAGCCGTTGCAAGAGAGTGAGAGGGGGGCGAGGGCCTTATCCGAATGCAGCTCGCGAAAGGAGGTCGCCGAGACGCGGAGAGGCAGCGACGGGAGGCAGGGTGAAGCCGACGACGCTGGCTAGGCCTCGCATGCGCGGGAAAGCGAGAGGAGGCCGCGCGTGGAGGCGAGAGGAGGCCGCGCGGGGAGGCGAGAGTCGCACGCGCGGGGAGGCGAGAGGAGAGCGCGGGGAGGCGAGAGTCGCACGCGCGGGGAGGCCGCGCGGGGAGGCGAGAGGAGAGCGCGGGGAGGAGAGAGGAGAGCGCGGGGAGGCGAGAGGAGAGCGCGGGGAGGCGAGAGTCGCGCGCGTGGGAAGGCGTTAGGAGAGCACGGGGAGGCAAGAGGAGGAGGCGCGGGGAGGTGAGAGGAGGAGGCGCGGGGAGGCGAGAGGAGCAGGCGCGGGGAGGCGAGAGGTGAACGCGCGGGGAGGCGAGAGGAGAACGCGCGGCAAGGCGAGAGGAGGCCGCGCGGCAAGGCGAGAGGAGGCCGCGCGGCAAGGCGAGAGGAGGCCGCGCGTGGAGGCGAGAGGAGGCCGCGCGTGGAGGCGAGAGGAGGCAGCGCGGGGAAAGCGAGAGTCGAGCGTGCGGGGAGGCGTGAGGAGGCCGCGCGGGGAAAGCGAGAGGAGAGCGCGCGGGGATGCGAACGCGAGAGGGAGGGCACGCGAGCGGCGAGCGGGAAGCAGCGGCTAACCTCGCGCGGCGAACGGCGGACGGCGAGCTAGGAGTGGAGGACGGGATGGGATGGCAGATGCTAGCGCGTCGAGGCTAAACGGGACTCTGTGGGGAGGGGAGGCGCTGTCGCTAATGGCCTCGCGGTGAGGCAGCGAGAGGAGGTGTGGGGCGGCCATGTCTAAGTTGGCGTGGCCTCTGCGAGTGCGTACGAATGAGCAATTTGTCCGCGCATGCGCACAAACAGCGTTACGCGGTTCAATAACAGATTCTGTCCCTAAATTTAGCTGTTTGGTTAGAACATTGCCTAGCCTACGGGGAATAACCTACCGAAGTAGGAGCGCGTGGGCTTTCCTCTCAATACCGCAGTTTCAGTTTCCTTTTGCAAGTCCTAAGGTTTTGAACTGTGAGTGCGGGGAGCTGGACGTGGGGCGTTTGGGGACTCACTTCGCCTGTCAACTGGGGGGTTGGGGGTTGTACGGTAATCGCGTAACCAGTTTTTCAAGTTCCTAAGGTTTTTGAAACCCCTGCTTGCAAAAGTATACTGTTGCTTTAAGGTTCACCAATGTGGTAGGCTAGTGGTTCTCTTCCACTATTCCAGCGGTGCTGCACTTGGCTATCCTAAGCCATGCTCATGGCGGTACTCCTGCCACCCCCAAGCTACTGCACTTGAGATTGGTGCAGCATCATACGCACACCTGATCTCCACTCCACAATCAGCAGCACAACTTCAACACCCTGCGGCTGCCACCGGCACATCTGTCGCCCCGATACGCTGCTCCTCTCACCCACCTCCTGCCACCTACCCCATGTGTCCCTCAAGCAACAACCCCACCCCTTCCGGCTCACTCCCGCTCCTTCAACCCACGCGTGGCTCTCAGCCGTGGCAGCACACAGAGGAAAGCAGCAAGCCCAAAAAGCGGCACAAACCGCACCCACTGCAGCGCCTCCACCAGCCCCTCGTCATCCCCAGACAACGACCCCCCCTCCTCCCCACGTGCTGCCTGTGCAGAAGGTGGGCGCAGGGCGGAGAGGCAGTCTTTGATGAGCCAGGGCTGGAAGAGCGAGTAGAGCAGCACGTCCCATGCAAAGGCATACGCCAGGCGGTTGCTGCCCAGGTAGTCCGAGAGAAACGCCACACGCACGGTGAGGTCCAGAGGGGCGACGTCAGGGCGAGCAAGGGCCGCCCAGAAGAGCGATGCGAGGGCGACGGTGGAGGACACGAGGGCGATGGGGAGTGGTGCGGAGGAGAGGAAGGTGGCGATCGCGGCAGGGCGCAGGGGCGCGGCGGAGTTGGGCGGGGGTGATGGGCGCAGGCGCAGGGCCATGATGGGGATGAGGAACACTGGACGGGCGGGGGGGGGATGGGGGATGGGAAGAGTGTGGTTGAGGAGGAGAGTCACGAGGAGGTGGATGCCTGGGAAACGACATGATGAGAGGTACCATGTGAAGGATGCAACAAGGATTGAGATGCCTGGATGCAATACGACAGGGTGGTGTATCCTTCTCGTCCCCTCCCTCCCTCCTCCCGCATTGCCCCATCACCTAGTGCTTCCTTCCCTCCCCCTTCCCCCTGCTCCCAGCATGTGGGGCACGCGTCCTGCAGCGCACCGTTAGTGAGGAACATCTGGCCCAGCCAGAGCGCGGGCAGGTTGGAGCCCACACGGGTGCGCCTGGGGTCGGCGAGCAGCAGCGGGCCGAAGAGCAGGCTCCAGGCGTTCACCACGTTGAACAGCGCCTCCGCCACCTGGTGCCCGCCCACCGGGGGAAGCGTCACATGCAGCAGCCCCGTGACGTGCGGAGGGGTAAGCAAGCAGGAGAGGTATTCAGAGGAATGAGGGCAAGGGAGCAGCGGATATGGCTGCGGCAAGGCAAGGCAAGGCAAGGCCAGGCCATACATGAGAAGCGCAGTTGTAGTGCGAGTGGTCATACGTGGAGGAGGCACGAACAACCTAGTGAAAAGCATGTGGTGTGAACACACGAGATGCTAGCAGACGGAGATAGAGAAAGCGAGAATGCGGGGGAGAAAAAGGGTGCGGGACGAAAGGGCGGCAACTAGCTGGGGCGATGGTGGGGGAAGAGAGCAAAACGATAGGGGGCAGTGACGGTGGTGAGGGAAGGGAAGGAGGGGTGGGCGAGGGTAGCGAGAAGTGGGACTGACAGGGTGCAGTTGCGGAGCCTCCAGCACATGAATGCCCGCTGCAGGGATACCGGCAGAAAACGAAGGGAGAGAGAAAATCGAGAGAGGAGATGTAAGGCGGCAGTGGCAAGTGATGTTGTGGTGGAGGGGAGGCTCAAAGGCAAAGCACCAACTGCACGTTGAGGGCTCACCGGCGTTGAGAGCTCACCGGCGTTGAGGGCGGGCAGGATGTAGAAGAAGTTGAGCGAGAGGTCCCTCACCTCCTGCACCGTGCCCTCACTTATCCTCCACGCCGGGTCGCCCTGCCATGCCCCTCCCACATGCGCCGTGAGAGACAGTGGGGCACGCGAGGTGTGACGAGGGGCACGAACAACGAGGGAGGTCCAGGGGGGCAAGGGAGAGAGAGGCGAGTTGGGGGAAGATGAGTTAATGGGAGCAGCATGCGGTGGTGCTGCTGAGTGTTGTGGCACGAGGGAAGGATAAAAGTTGTGGTAATGGGCAGCAGAGGGGGCTCACAGGGGCGTATGGCAGCACGAAGAGCCACAGCATGTAGAGGCCGAAGCCAGCCCACACGACCTTCGCCAGCACCGCATCCAACCCATCATCTCTCTGCTCCTCTCCTGCACCCCCATCTCCATCCCCATCGCCCCCTGCCCTCACCACCACCCCGCTTCGCCTCCCTCCCCTAACACCAGCCCCTTCTTGCCGCTCCTCCCCCGGCTGCGCCCCTCCGCTCCGCCTTGGTCCTGAGGCGCGGCATACCCCAAGGGCTGGGCGCACAGGCAGAAGCGCGCAGGAGGCGGAGAGATGGGTGCAGAGAGGGCGAGGGGGAAGAGACGGATGGCTGGGGTTAAAAAGGCGGGGGGAGTGGGGGAAAGGGAAAATGGAGAGGGGTAAGAGAATATAAGAGCGGTGGAGAGGGAACGGGGCGGCGGGTGGGTGGGCGGTGATAGCGAGGCGAACGGATGACGCGACGAGCGGCGGAGAAGAACGTAGGGTGCGGGAGGAGAGAGGGAGGAGAGGGAGGGGGCGCAGCGGGGAAGGTGGGGGACGGCGAGGGGAATGTGGATGGCGGGAGCGAGCAGGTACTGAGAAAGAGGGGGAAACGCGGGAGAGGGGGGCGAGCGAGATGGGATGAGGTTGAGCGAGCGGGAGAGAATGAGCGGCGGCGGCGCGTGCACTGACGGAGTGAGGCCTTGCGACTGCACGCTCACCACTGCTGCACTGCCATTCACGCCCTGCTCGCGCGCATGCCAACTCACACGCTACTTCTGCCACGGCCCGTCGCATTCGGCGCTGCTCGCCGCCTTAGCGGCGCGAGAAGCGAGGAGGGAGGCAGTGAGGCGTTGTTGAGAGCGACGGCTCGCGACACCTCCATGGCCGCTGCTGATACAACGATACGCCCAACTGCCCAAGGACGGCTGGAGCGCGCTTCTCGCTAGGCTGAGTACAGGTTGCCGATATGGTTGGGTCGGAGGCAAGGTAGCATTCATTATTTCCGAGCCCTACCCCACTTCCCCTACCCAACCCAAGTTTTCGAACTCGAACTCATGTTGAAAAAAAAAACACAAAACGAGGTTCGCAGTATAGAGTACAGCATTTAGCCCTCGTTTTGATGGCCCTCACTTAGCCTATGCGGGTGTGTCAAAGTTTGTTTATATCTTAGATATTTTAGGCTTTAGTGAGGTTCACAGTATAGAATACAGTATAGTGATACTTTGTACTCTGTTCCCACCCATTCAGCTTGCTCACTGAGACTCATATGTGAACGGTATACAGGCCAGCTCAATCTGATTGCCTTGTGTGCTACCATTCTCCAAAATTGAGTGATACATAGCCAGAGAAGAGGCGGCCGTTAGTTGACTTGAGCTCGTTAATGAGACGGTTCCAGTTGGACCCAAGAGTTCCCACAAAATAGTCGCACTCGGACGCGATGAGTAGATTGGCAAAGCTAGCGCCCACCACTGTTGCAAGGCCAGTGGCAGTGGAGTAATTTGCCATGGCCTCTCGGGCACCCTGGCGAGGCAACTGCGAGTAATAGAAGGTCCAGTCGGGGAACAAGGCTGTTTGCTCCACCACACTCTGCCGGGCAAGGGTGCAAGGGGCAACAGGGGTGGGAAGGGGTTGTGGACAGCAGGATGGGCTGCCTGCACCTGCGTGCAGTGAACAAAGGACGGGGAGGAGCAGGGGCAGGGGGAGGGGGTGTGTGTGCACCTGCATCTCGGTGCTGAGCCACACGGCCTTGAGGTTGGGGTCGAGGCGGCGCAGGCGGTTGGCGCGGTGCATGAAGGCGAAGAAGGAGAAGAGGCGCATCTCCCGTGCCTTGTCGCCCTGCCGCACGTGCACACTCACCACCGGCCGCGGCATGTGCACCGGCCCCCCCACCAGCACCGCCGCCTCTGCTGCAGTCCAGTGGTCAAGCTGCAAGGGAGGGGCGTGGCCAGGAGGTGCAGCAGAACTGGGTGGCGCAGGGCTGGGTGGTGGCACGGCGGGCGCGGGGTGAAGGGGGAGTGCCGTGGTGAGCATGGCACTGGCAGCGGTGGCAGCGGTGGCAGCGGTGGCATCATCGCAGGCGTCGTACCCCAGCAGCGGCCATGCATGCAATTCAAGCGCGGATGGGGGAGGTATGCTGGGCATGCCCGTAAGAGCAAGAGGGGCAGGTGGGGAGGGAGAGGGAGCAGGAGGAGGGGAGGAGGATGGGGGAGAGGCGGAGGCAGGCGGTTGAGAGTGGGGCTGGGAGGAGAGGAGCAAGGAGAGCAGTGCGGCCTGATGTGACGCGGCGGCCAGCTGTGCTGCGACGTGCATGCCGTAGGCGGAGTGGCGCTCGCGGTTGATGAGGTGGCACAGGTGGCGCGAGGGCCAGCGCAGCATGAAGCGCACCGACTGCGCTCGCCACCAGTGCTTCTGCGCCCCCCACATGCAACATGGCCGGGCGGACGGATGGAGGGCAGGGGGGAGACGATGCAGTTGCTGGTGAAGCAGAGGACAAGCGGAGAAGGGTTTGAACGGCTAAGGGGTTAGGCATGGCATGTGAGTGGGGATGGTGGCACATGACAAGGAGTTGGGTAGATGCAACGTGTGAGAGGCGGGAAGATGAGCATGAGAGTGAGGGCATGAGCGAGGGAGGTTATGGGAGAGGGCGGTCAGGGGGAGAGCGGGGGAGTGAGAGGCAAGACCTTGCGGATTTTGTCGTCCATGCGCGCATAGAGGGCGTCCTCCACCTCCTGCACCACCGCGCGCTCCTTGTACGCCTCGCCCCACCGCCTGCCGTGCCTCGTCCCACCCCGCGTGAGAGCAGCCGCGTGCAGTGCAGCGAGCAGAGCAGGGAGCGAAGACAGGGCGCAGCCGGGGAAAGGAAGTGATGTGAGGAGGGCGACTGAGGGACTTGGGAAACAGCATGGCTTTCACAATAAGGCCGGCAGGGCTTGGGGGGAGAGAGTGAGGGCTCCATTCCCTGGCAGGCAGTGCATGCAGGGCATGGGTGTGAGGATGCACAGCACACATGACCATGTGGGCTGTGCCATGACACGTGAGTGCGCGTGAGATACAGCCACGTACTCCCTGTCAACAACTGTAGCAGTGAGGCATAGGGGGCAGCACATGGGGAGGGGAGAGGAGAGGAGTGGTGACCTGACGACAGCGGAGTCCTGGCCCAGCTTGGGTCCACAGCCGAACACAACAGGTGCAGGCGAGGCGAGCACAGAGGCGTTGTCACACTTGAGCATGGCGGCGCTGTGGTACGCCGCCATGGCCACCGCCTCGCACTCACGCGATGCCATGGGGAAGAAGTAGCAGCTCAACGACCCCCGCTCACCCACCGCTGCTACAAGGAAGGGGGGGCCCAGCAGGGACAGGAGAGGCAGGAGGGGATGGGTGAGCAGAGCAGCAATAGCGAGGCACATGCTATGCATGACAGAGCTCTGTCATATCCCCACTGCACCCACATGCTCCACCCTTGCTGGGCCTCACTCGCACACTCGCACCACCACATCTCCTACCAACCACCCGCCCCGCTCCCACCTACCGCTCCCCCCGCTGTACCGCCCTGCCATGCCCATGCGGTGGTGGGCAAGGTGGCCGGGCCAAGGCACACGGACCTTCACAGTGGGCATGGTGAGCGTGCGCCATGGAGTGTGGCAGCATGACCAGCGTGCGGTTGTGCAGCAGCGCCGCGCCCAGGATGGCAGAGACGACGTGCAGCTGTGCGCCCAGCCCAAAGGACGCCACGTTCAGCCACGGCACCACCACCAGGCGCCGCCCCGCGCATGACGCCGGGAACTGCTGCTCCCATATGTCCCTCTGCGCCTCTCGCGTCCCTGCTAGGTTCGCTGCGTCTGACCCCCGCACCTGGGGGAGGGGGACGCGGGAAGGGGAGGGGGGCGCGGAAGAGAGGGAGAGAGGGAGAGGCAGGGATGGTGGGCAGCGGGAGAGCAGGGCGGGCGTGGTTGAAGCAGAGGGCGCCAAGGCGTGCCGACATGGGGTGTATTGTGGGCACGTGGTAGAGCGCGAGGTTGTGCACATGGAAAATACACAACGAAGCATGACACAGCAGGCACGGAGGGCAATTGGACGGGGGAGCACGGCACGCAGGATGGGTGAGGCACGCATGGCGCTGTGCTGTTGTGCACTCGAATCCATCCGCTGCTGCACGCCACGACACGGGTCTGTGAAGGAGCAGCATGCAATAGCGGGGAAAGAGAGCGGGCTGCACCCACCCATGGCGGCTGCGGTACCCCCCCGCACGTGGAGGGACGAGCCCATGCAGGCGCCTCCCCGTCGCGCCCGCGCGCCTCCATGCGCTCCCGCCATGCCGTCCGCTGCGCGCAATCCTCCAAGTGCGGTGCGCGGGGAACGCCAGGGGGAAGAGTGATGGCGGGCGGCGGCAGCAGCGACGAGGCGTCGAGGCCGTACGCGCTCTCCCAGTGCTGCGCGGGGGGCGGGAGGGGGAAGGGGTTGGGGGGTGGGGGGTATGGGGCGGTGGGGGAGGGGGAAGGGGGAGGAGGCGGGGGGAGAAAGTGCGGGGAGAGGGAGGCGCAAGAAGCGCGTGAGGCGAGCACGTGTGATGGGAGGGAGGAGGCCGGAGCGCGACAGACCTGCCAAAGGCGCTACCACTGTGCCCCACATGCCAACGCCACTGCCCGGCCGCCACTGACCCTGTACAAGGCGCGTGCATGCTCCGAGCCGCCACTGGCGTCGTCCGCGCTCTCCCCCATCCCCAGCGCCCCTCCGCGCCACGCGCGCTGGCCATGCAGAACCGCGCCCACGAGCGCAAGCACCAGGGCGCTCAGCACGCTGCGCCTGCCTCTACCCCGCGCGTTACTGTCTATTACCCGCCTGCCGCCCTGCCGCCCCGCCGCCATCCCAGGCAGCCCGCAATAGCGGGATGTGGCGCATGCTCCGCGGCTATCGCCAGGCGATGCGCAGATAACGGCGAGGGGAAGGGCTATATTGCAGGGCGGGGTTGAGGGGAGGAGGGAAACCAGGAGTAGAGTTTTGCGCTTGAGGCACCTTTGTGGTCGAAATGAAGAAGCTGAGAAGGTATATGAGGATGCCGAATTGCATGCTTCGAAGTTCACTTGTACAATTCAAAGTGTAGCATTTATTAATCTCGCTAAGAGATTATGTTTCCATGGTACCTTAGCTCTGCCATTACTCTCTTTACACAGAACAGTGCCTTTAGATTTGAGCCTTGGTTTGGATAAAAACACACAATAATACAGTAGATGTTTGGGTTCTAGGCAAGGACCCACTAAACGGGAGCTTACAGTACCACCAACTTGTATGCAAGTAAAAATCTCTACAGCTGGAACAGTTAACACCATCCAGACCGATCAAGCTGTATGACAACTTTTTAAGACATCAACTCGTAGCCATCAATATGCTTTCTGATGGCCATTGGCAGTATAGGTAAAGAACCTGCTGGAAACACTACATACCCACCCAAGCAGCTTCTTCAGGATGAAGCCACCGTGAGGTCTCTGACATCGCAACCACCACCCCTCTCCAGCATCCCCCCAGTGAGAGGCTAGAGCAGCACGGCATCAGGGCAGCATGGCATCATAGTCCATGGGCTTGGCACGGCGCTCAATGGTGGCAGCGATGTGGCGGGACATGCCGGAGATGCAGCGCTGGGCGGCCTCCAGTTCCTCCAGCTCCATGTGCTCCACGCCCGCTGCCTCTCGCACCGCCTGCAGCATCTCCACCATGCCCGCCGACCGCACCACTGCACGCATCGCCTCACCCACCTCCTCCACGTCTACTACTGCCACCGCTGCTCTCCGCCATGCCTTGCGCCGTCGCACACTCTTCTTTGCACCCGCGTGCTGCGTCTGCACGTGCTGCTTGTGCTGTTGTGAGTCGCCTTTCAGTGCCCCTCCTTCCTCACTGCCACTCTCACTGCGTGCCCTCCTGTGCCCCACTGTCACCACCGCAGCCTGCAGCAGCGCCCGTGCGTCCTGCTCCCTCACCTGAGGCGCCCCCACCTTGCGCTTGCCTGTCACACTCCTCCGCCCCTCCTCCGCCCCTCCTCCGCCCTCCCCCTCCCCACTACCTCCCCCCTCTGTCACCACATGCGCCTCCCCTGCGAGTGCTGCTGCCTCGCGTGCCCTGCGGGACAGCAGGCGGCACTGCACCATGCTGCGCGCCCACTCCCCCGCCACCCCTGCTGCCACTGCACCGCCCCCTGCTAGCCCTGCAGCAGCGCCAGGGGAACCCAGTGACTGGAAGACTCCTGCACCAGATGCACCCTGCATCACCGTGTCCTCCACCCCACCTGCCTCACCTGCTGCCGCACCACCCAGCTTCTGTGGAACGCCGGTGCGCTCTACCTCAATGCTGCCTGCTTCTTGTGCATGCTGCTGCTGCTGCTGCTGCTGCTGCTGCTGGCTGCCTGCAGTGCCTTCCCTACCGGGCATGCCTCGCTTGGCGGCCATGGCAGCAGCGATCGCCCTGCGCCCCATGTGACCCACCGCAACGCTCGCTGCCTTTCCCCCACTGCACTCGCTGCTCCCACTGCACTCGCTGCTCCCACTGCCAGCTCCACCACTCCTTGCCGCACCTGCTGCTGCCGGACTGCCCGCGCCCGCCTCGCCTGCCTTGCCTGTGCTGCTCTTGGCGGCTGTGCCATGCTTACTGGGAGTGGTGCTGCCGGCCCTGTGTGGCAGCAACGACCTCAGGCTCGATGCCAGCGACCGCATGCTCTTCACTGCGCCGCTGCTGCTGCTGCCGCTGCCATGCCCCGCCTCCCTGCCACTGCCCCCACCGCCCGCACCACGGCTGGTACCTGTGCCCGTGCTGGGGCCTGGGCTTGAAGGTCTGCGGTGGGTGGGGGAGGCAGGCGCCTTGGCTGCTGCAGCGCTGCTGGTGCTGCTGCCGCCCTTGCGGGCGAGCGCCAGCAGCGCCCTGCCTGTGGCGCGCAGTGGGGAAGCGGGCCGGGATGCGCTGCTGCGACCGTGCACCGGGGTTGTGGGGGTGGAGGGGGCGGTGGGGGTGGTTGGGGTGGCGGGGGTGGCAGGAGTAGTTGAAGTGCGCGGGGTTCTTGGCGTGGTGGGCGTGGAAGGTGGTTGGGTGGTGGGAGTGGTTGTGGCGGTGTTCTTGGGTGTGGCTACAGCGCCTGCACTCACGGCGCTCCTTGCCTCGCTGCTGCCTGAGCCTGGCCCCTTGCGTCCATCTGCATTGCTCCCTGCAGTGCTCCTGCTCGTGCCCCTGAGACTGGCAGTGGTGACGGCAGCAGTGCGCGCAGCAGAGGGGGTGGGAGCGGGGGAAGGTGGCTTGCGGTCAAGGGAGTGCTGGCGGGACAGGGACAGCAGGCGCGACATGGACTTGCGCACAGGGGACGCTGGCCGTGCTGCTGCTGCTCCTGCTGCTGCTGCAGCCGGTAGCACTGCTGCAGCTGATGCTGGTGATGACTCGTCCTTCTCATGCCCGCTTCTTGATGCGCCACTGCTGCCTGCTGCTGCCGTTGTTGCTCCTGCTGCTGCTGCACGCACACCCACACTGCCCACACGCGAGGGACTGGCAGGGCGCACAGGGCTGGCAGGGCGAATACTGCTGTCCCTGCCCTGTGATGGCCCTGCCCCTGCCGTGCCTGCTCTGCCCACCGCTGCTGCCTTGGCGTCCGCGCGTGCAGCAGCACCCACACCCGTGGAACGCACAGGCGATGCTGGGCGTGCTGCCTTGCCCGCCACCTGGCTCTGCTGCTGCATCAGTCGTCCACGCGCTGACAGCAGCACGTCACTGGGAGCCACTCGCGCCGACCCCGCCCTACCTGCCGCTGCCTGGGGCGTACTCCCCTTGCCCGCACCCGCCTCCTTGTTCAACGCCTTTGCGTCCTTGCTTGCCGGCCAGTAAGGCAGCGACACGTCAGCAGTCTCTTTCACGATGGCCAGCGCGGCGAGCAGCGCTGGCGGGTACGCGAAGGCCTTCTTCTCCGCGCCCGCCGCACCCCGCGCGCCCACTGCCTTAGCCGCCGCCTGTGCGCCTGCGTGCTCCGTCACCCCGCCAAACGTGGCCTGCCAGAACGCCAGGGAGCGCGCGGCAATGGGCGGGTGCGGGTGCAGCAGCGCGACGGCGAGGGCGGGGGTGAGCGCTGGGAGGAGCGCGGAGGAGCACCAGGCGGTGGGCGGCTGGCACGACTCGAGCATGCTCAGCACGGCGCCCCACCCCGCCGCCACGCCGCCCTTCACGCCGTCCAGCACGCCCCACTGCGCGGCCTTCACCGCCTGCTCCCACCGCTCCCTGCTGCCGCCACCGGAGCTCTGCGCGCCTGCACCCGCTGCACTGCCCGCGTGTCTGGGCGAGGGGGTAGTGGTAGCGGCGGAAGCAGGGAGGGGGGGCGTCCAGGCGAGGGAAAGCGCGGCGGTGAGCGCGGGGAGGGCGGCGTGCAGCAGCAGCAGCGAGTCGGACGCGCAGGTGACGCGCGACGCCAGCGACGCCAACACCGCCACCGCCCTCCGCAGCTTCTCCGCGCCCACCTCTCTGCCCCGCTCGTCCGCGCCCGTGCTGTCGATCACTCTGCACGCGCCCAACACCAGCGCGCCCACCGCGCCCGCCGCCTCAACCACCCCCCGCGGGTCCTCGTCCTTCCCCGCGTGCAGCCCCTTCGCCACGTCGCCCGCGGCGGCGGACGGGCGCAGCGCGGAGAGGCGGCGGCGCTGCCCCGCCATGGTGACAGTGATAGCGGGCAGCGCGGCCGCCAGGTCCATGCGCTCCGCGCCCACCTCGCCCGCGCGCACCGCCACTTCCCACCACGCCTCCGCCGCGGACACGCGGCCGGGAGGAGCACTTCCAGTGGGGGTAGGGGGCGCGGGGGCGGAATGGGGGGCAGACGGCCGAGCAGCGGCAGCAGCGGCCCCAGCGGGCGCGGCGTCGCAGTGTCCGGCGGAAGCGAGTGCGGCGAAGAGCGGGGTGAGTGGCGCGTTGGGGTGGTGCGGCGACCTGAGCGCGGGCGAGTGCAGCAACGCGACGACGAGGCGCTCCGTGTCGCGCAGCACGTCGCGCAGCAGCGACGCGGGAATGCACCACGCGCACGCACATGCCGCAGGTGCCGACAATGCGGCCGTTGCGTGGGACAGCGAATGCACCTGTCCCTGTTGCGACTCGCAGGCAGCGGAGGCAGAGAGGAAGGAGAGCGCGAAGGAGAGCAGCGCCGGCGCCGCGGCAGCTGCGCTCTCCACCTTGCCCTCTGCGCCACCCGTAATCCCCCCCTTTCCGCTGCTCTGCTGCCCCTGCCCCTCCCAATCCCCCCGGCCCCGCGTTGCTGCCCTCTGTGAGCTCGTGCGCCAGTCGCCGCGCCAGCACGCCCCACACGCTCAGCACCACCTCTCCGCGCCGCTGCTCCACCGCCCACCGTCCCGCCTCCCCTGCCCCATTCTTGCCCGCTTTTCGAGCAGTGGGGGAGGCGGGGGCGTGCGCGGCGGGGGAGGGCAAGAACTGTTCGAGCGCGCGCAGCACGCCCACAAATCGGCTGCTCGCGTCCGCGCCCTGCACCGCTGCCGCCACCAGCTCTTCCGCGCGCTCCGCCAGCCCCTGCGCGCCAATCCCTGTCACGTGCGCGCCGAATGTGATGCCTGCGTCGACCCACAGCGCCGTCACAAACACCGCCGGCACTGCAGCACGCCGAGCCACAGCCGTCGCGCTGCCGCCACTCGCCCCGCCTGCGCGGCCCGCAGCTGCTCCCCCCGCACCCGTGCTGGGAAGGCGGTGAGCGGAGGCGGTGCCACCGGTCGGAGTTTTGGGGGAGACGGGAACGTCGGTGGAGGCGGAGAGGGGAAGGCAGGAGGGTGTGGCGAGGGCGAGGCGGTAGAAGGAGGAGGCCATGAGCAGCGGCGTCAGGTGCCGCGTGAGTGCGCGCGTGAACTCCCAGCACAGGTCGAACCACCCTGCCAGCCACGCCGCCTCGCCGTCGCCGCCGCCGTGCGCGCCGTGGTGGGCGGCGGCGGGCAGCCCCAGCAGCCCGTGGAGGAACTCGAGCAGCAGGTGCACGGCCGCCACGTGCTCCGCGCTCGGCCGCACTGCACCGCGCCCCAGCGCCTCCACTCCGCGCACCAGAAGCGCCCACAGGCGCAAGGAGGCCTCGGACGCGCGCACTTGCGGAGGGCCTGCGCGCTGCTGGGCTTCCGCCATCATCACCTGCGCCGCCTCGCCGCCGTCCTCAGCGTCCTCGTCCGTACTCCGCCCGGCGGCCACTGCCCATTCCCCCTTCACCTCCAGAGCCTTGCTCGCCGCCTCCGCCTCCCCCGCCTCGCCGCCGCCCAACCGCGCGGGCTCGGCTACCCGTCCATCCTCCTGCCCCCGCGCCGCACCGTGAGACGAGCCTTCCAACGCCATTCGCCCGTCTGCGCGCTCGTTGCGAGCGACGTCGCTTGGGTCGCATGCATGTCGCACGACGACGTCGAGCAGCCCCAGCAGCTCCCTCAGCTGCTCCACCTGCCACGGCGCCCACTCCACCGTCGTCACTATGGCGGCCGCCGCGTGCCGCCTGTCGTACTTGCGCTCCAGCGCGCCGCCCTGCCCCTCCGACACCTGCCACCCGCCCTTCGCCGCCACCGACACCAACGTCCCCGCCTTCGAGCCCACCTCTTCCACGGGCACCAGCGCACCACTCTCCGCGCCACTTTCCGCCTTGGCCCCCCGCAACAGCTTCCCCGCGCCCGCGTCCTTGATTCCTTCCCGCGTCGCCGCTCCGGAGAGTCCCGCTTCCTCCTCCCCCACTGCGCCTGCGCCTGTGGTGGCGACGAAGCCCTCTAGGAGCTTCAGGCACCCCGCCCACTCCCACGCCTGCGCCTCCCCCGCCGGAGACTCCGCGCCCGGTGCCGGGCGGTAGGGCCCGCGGCGGAGCACGATGCGCAGCATGGGGGTGGCGGCGGTGGAGAAGACGGCGGCGGACGACGCCCAGGGGCCCAGCGACCCCAGCAGGTGGCACCACGCGTGAAGAGCGGCGCCGCGCACCGCCGAATCGGCCTCGTGCGCTGCGGTGGTGATGAGCGGAGCCATCAGCAGCGTGAGGCGCTTCGGCGAGGGCGCTCCCACCATCGCGCCTCGACTGCGCTGGAAGGGCGTGGAGCCCGGGGACTCTGGGGAGCGCGGGCAGAGGGAAGGAGAGGTGCAGGTTATGAGAGAGAATGGGGAAAATAAAAAAAAAAGCCAAGGGAAGAGCGGTGATGGTACGCGCGCGAGGAGAAGACAGGGAGGGGCGAGATGGGATGGGATGAAGCAGCACGCACTGTGAGTGGGGGAACGCGACGCGATGCTCCGCTTGCCCCCTTCGAGCGCAGCAGCAGCGAGCGGTGCATCAGCGAGGGGGATGGCGGGCGCGAAGGCGTCGATGAGCGACTGCCACGCCATGTGCGTCTCGGCGCGCACGGCGGCGTCGGGCGCCATGAAGGTGCGCTCCGGCACCTTGAGCAGCGCGTTGGCGAGCGCCGTGCTGCCCTTCTCCGCCAGCGAGCCCCCCGTGAGGCGCACGAGCCACGCCCACGCGAGCACGACGAGCGGCATGTGGTGCACGTCGCCCAGCATCGCGTCCATGCGCAGCACCGCGCCGCCCTTCACCTCCTCCACCATCGCCTGCACGCCCCGCACACACCCACACGCACACCCACACGCACACCCGCACCCGCATCCACACCAGCAGCACCAGTGACGACTTTGGTTTCGGCCCCACGCATTGCAATCAGCACGAATTGATCTGGACGGGAGGGGGAACGTGAAGGTAGTGCGCGGAGGACGGCGCACCTTGGTGACGAGAGGTGAGGGCGGCAGCAGCACGCGGCGCGTGGCGGCGAGCGAGAGCGTTGCGTGGATGATGTCGCGCTCCTTGCGGTGCGACGCGACGAGCAGGCGCCGCCACATGGGCACGGCCCACACGTGCGCGTGCTGCCGCATCTCCTGCGGCAGCTGCAGGGCCAGCACGCGCACAGCCTGGGGGGACGCGCGAGACATGGGGAGAGCGAGAGGGGAAGGAATATCGCGGTGAGCGGCATCGAGAGCGGCAGGCACCAGAGATGTAGACGAACGGCTTGGGGCAACCTTTTGTGATATGTGGCGGGCGTGGCGACTGGAAGGAGGCGCGAGGAATCGACAAGAAGTGTGATCGCAGCGCGCGAGTGCGATGAGTGCGAGGGCGGAGAGCGGCAGGGGGCGCACCTTGCAGGCCTCGCAGGAGATGGCGTGCGACGCCATGGGGTTTACGACGGCGTGCACCAGCGCGCGCAGCACGGACGGCAGCAGCTGCGCCAACAGCGGCGCGCGCACGTTCTGCTGCGACACGCACCACACCGCCAAATTGCATACCACCTGCCGCGTGCCCGTGGGGCGGGCGGGATGGGAGGGAGTGGCATGAGCAACGGCGAGGAGAACAAGCAGTGCGCGGAAGGCACGAGAGAAGGGATGGGTTAACGCACTGACCTTGTCGTTGGTGGTCATGATTGCCTGGAGTATGGCCTTCAGTGTGGCGCTCACATCTGCGTCTGCGCACACCAACAACACTCAAAATCTCGCTTAATGTTCCGTCTAACCGTCATGAAGCTGCCACATAATGAATCGTGACGGGCGGAGCGCGACTTCACGAGGGCACAGATAGGGCGGACGAAGAGGGGGCGAGCGTGGGAAACACACTCTCGGCGGTGTTGGGCGGATGGAAAGAGGGAAAGGCAGGGAGGCGGTGGAGGCTTACCGGAGGCGTGGTTGGCGAAGACTGGGTGGTGCAGGAAGAAGGCGGCGCACTTCATGGCGTACACGCATCTGCCGCCGCGCGCATGGCGGTCGTAGTGCCGCACGAGGGAGGGGGAGTGGGTGGGGAAGGGGAGGATGGATTCCACGACATGAGCAAGTGGGAGGTGGTGCTGACTGGGTGAACGAGGGCCAAGAGACGAGGGATCTACAGACGGGCCAAGCAGCTGTGACCGTCGCGGAGGAGTTACGCGAGCGCACGAGTGCCCACAGCCAAACCCAACTTCAGGACCCTGTCCGCGCCACGTGGCATTCCCACGACCATTCCTCTTGTACAGCTTCTGAGACTGCTATTGGTTCGAGGCCCTGACTAAGGACAGGCGGTTGCGAGTGTTTTGTGAGCATCGCGCTGAATCGAGGCTGGTCGAGTGGACTGCATCTGCCTACTTCGTGAGTAGCTCCGCCCCAGCATTGATCGACCCAAACGAATATAAGCAGCCACGTGGGCGTGGGCGAGCGGAACATGCACGAAAAGAGAACTAGCATAGAGCGAAAGACGCATCTCCCGAAGAGGAGAACGGGCGCGAGGGAGAGGAAGCGAGAGAGATGGGTGGCGTACATATCGGTGGCGGTGGAGAGGATGTCGGGTCGCAGCACCGCGAGCAGTGCTGCCAGGTGTTGCTGGAGCACCTCAGCGGCTGTCCCGTCGCCGCCGCCGTCGCTCTGCATCTGAAGGTGAAGCAGTCTGGATGGCGAGGGCACACGACAGAGCACACACGCGCATCATATGATGCCTGCATCTGGGCGCACCGCGCGCGAGAAACACGAGCTTCCGGAAAGATCAGCGACGGAGGACAGCTCACATAAGCGGTGACTAGCAGCTGCACTCACTTGGTATAGCCTTGTGTGCGCTGCTGGTGCTGCGACGATTGCAGCAGCGACAACACCTCCTGGAGGTACGATGGCGTGACGTCGCCATTCTGTAACTCCACTAGCTCCACTACCATAATTTCCGTACCCTAAAACACACTCTGCAAGCTTCGAAATATTCGCAGCATCGGCTAGGAATCACGGAGGCTACTGCTGGCTGGGACTGACTAGTGTGAGAAAAAACAAGCGTGGGGTGAAGGCATGCGGGAAGCCATTATGTGTGGGGATGTGATTGCAAGGCTTTCCTCTGGATGGATGTTGGTGAAGATGCTCTTCTTGAGAGTTGCGCGCTCGACAAGGCAGCAAGCGAGACCTGCATGGACTGCGCAATGCCGCTCGGAACAGGGGAGCTGAAACAGGGTGATTTTCCAAAGAGTAAAATTCCCCGCCGCCGCCAACGACGCGGACGGGTGGGCGCGGTGCGGGAGGAGGACGGAGCGGGGGAGCTGCGCCTGGCCATAGTGGTCTTGGGCTGGTTGGGTTGTCGTGGCAGGGGTGGTGGAGATTCGGAGGCAAAGCAACCCCGCCAAATAATCTCAATTCGAAATGTCGAATTTTCGGAGCCGTGTCGTGCAGAATGTGCTTTCGTGCACTTGGATGGGCCATCGGACGGACACCCTTGGAAGCTCAGCATGATATGGGGTCCCAGTACACTTCTTTCCAAACTACAGTTACCGGCAGGATCATTGCAACTCTATATAATTGATTTCTATTTTTTGGGATATCATTTCAAGAAAGCATTTATTAAGCACTCTTGGATTGGAGCCCCCACTTAAACCTTTAAGCACCGTGTTCAGGAGAATGCCTCAAATACTGGTTCATTGTTATGGAAGTAAAATGAGAAGCCCGTACGGGCCGCGCGCGGGCCTGGCGCAGGTCGCGCGGGCCGCGTCGGGCGACGGGGGGCGACGCGCGGGTCCGCGGGCTCCGTGACGGGCGACGGGGGGTGTCAGAAATTGTATTTCTATGTATAACTGCATATTAGCTTAGTTAGTGTAGTATCTATTTCATTGTTGGTGGTATACCCCCCTTGGCCACCTTCCCTTGCCCTATTTCTTGTAACTCTCTCCATAGTCAAACCCCTTCTTGCTTGGCCAAACATCCTCTCTCTTCCTAAAACCTAATTTCTCCTAAGCCTACTATTCTAACAGGGGGCGCTTCGACGGGCGACAGGGCGGTCGACGGGAAGGGGGGAAGCGCAGGTCCCCGGGGTGACGCACGAGGGAGGAAACCGCCGCGCGCCTCGGGGCCACGGCGGGCAGAAAACCGCCGCGTGCCCCGAGCGCGCGGCGGGAAGAAAAAACGAACATCGCGCGCCACGGGACGCGCGACACACAGGAAGGCAGCGGAAGCAGGCGGGCCCACAGGCCAGGAGCGTAACCGCTCTGATAGCATGTTAAAATAGTAGGCACAAGTAGGAGCCATAGCTAGGGTTTACCTAGCTAGGCAAGAGAGAAATGAGCAAAGGAGGGGTTTCACTAGCTGCAGTTGGGATACATATAGCAAACCCTAACTGGGTTGTACCCGCTATAGAGCACCCCACTACAGGCTAGATAATAACATTCTGACATACAATGCTTTTCTACAAGTAGAAAGAACGAAGAACTCAGAAGAGAGTACGAAGGCGAAGGGTCGAAGCAACGCGAACGGTTATGAAGCATCTGGATCGTTGGAGCAAATAAAATCGGGCAGCTGCAGGAGAGAGGGATTAGACGGGAACAGTTTTGTAACAGCACGCGCCACACGGTTGGGTTTGAATTTGAATAAGGGAATACACCCTTTAGGGCGGATCTTCGGTTTGGGTCATAAGGCACTGTTTGGGTCATCAGTACACATTGGGTCATGGGAGCACCAATGGTATTCAAGTAGTGTAATTAAAATGCACCTGATTGGTCTTCCAAGAATCTCGGATGACCCAAACAATGCATGACCCGAACCAAAGATACGCCCTTAGACTACGTGGCTGTCAATGTTATTTTTTTCATATGATTGTTTAGCCTGTAGTAAACTACTTCTTAGGGGTACAACATATCTCTTGATACTCATCTTGTACACCTCCCTTGACCTAACACAATCATTCTTCTCATTAGATTCTTACATGGTTTCAGAGGCTAGGGAATTCATTGACCTTAGGACAGCCCACTGATCGTTCCGCTCGACCCCGCCCGAAGCGCCCTTATGCTGCCCTGCCCTGCCCGAAAAGCGTCGCGCTGCCCTGCTGCTACGCGCGCTGCTTGCACTTGCGCGCTGCCTGCTGCACGCGCGCTATCTGTCGGTGCACACGCTGCCTGCCCGCGAGCGCCGCCTGCCCGCGCGCCTGCCTGCTCGCGAGTGCCACCTGTCCACGCGCGCAGATTGCCCGTGAGCGCCGCCTGCCCGCGTGCGCTGCCTACTCGCGAGCTGCCTACGCGCGCACACGCTACTTGCCCGCGAGCGCCGCCTGCCCGCGCCCTCCTTACGCAAGCCCCGCCTGCCTGCGCGCCTGCGCCCCTACCCGCGTGAGCCACATGCCTGCGCGCACTGCCTACCCGCGTGTCAGAATAATATATAATTCTATATATTGTTCTATAACTGCCTGTAGTGTAGAATACTGTAGTCATATAACTTTCTGTTTGGTGGTGCACCTTTCTTGATTCCTGCCTATTTGTACTGCTCGCTCTATAGTGAACAGCCTCATTTGTTGGCCAACTTTCTTCTCTCAACACTCTCGTCAACTACCTTCCTAGCACCTAGGGTTTCCATGCCTCCTAGGTTCTAGAAATATTTTAACACCGCGAGCGCCCCTACCCACACGCGCTACTGCTGCTGCTGCGTAGCTGCTGCCAACTGCGCTGCTGCGCCTGCTCTGCTGCAGCCACATGCGCTATTGCCCTGTGCCCTGCCGAGCCCGCTCGCTGCCCTACCCCCCAGCCCGCACGCTGCCCTGCCCTGCAGCCCATAAGCTCTGCAGCCTGCGCGCCACCCTGCCCTGCAGCCTGCTAGCAGCCCTGCGCTGCAGCCTGCGAGCTAGCCTGCCCCTGCAGCCCGCACGCCCTGCAGCCCGCGAGTTGCCCCGCCCTGGAGCCCCCACGCCCTGCAGCTGCTCGCTGTCCTGCCTTGCAGCCCGCAGGCTGCCCTGCACACGCCGCACTGCAGCCAGCGCTGTCGGCGCCCTGCGCGCCTTGCTGCCCGCATGCCCTACTACTAGTGCGCGCCCTGCTGCCCCTACAGCGACTACCGCTATTGCTACAGCTGCAACTACAGCAGTCGTTTCTGACGCTCTGCGCCGCCCTGTCCTACAGGTCACGCGCCCTACAGTCAGTACGCCCTGTAGCTTAGGACGTGGCAGTTCTCCGCCTCTACTGCTGCCAGGGTTCTACTAGTGGCGCGTCCCTAGAGTGCGCCCCTCCAGTAGCCCATCGACCACCCTTAGCCCGCTTTCGTCCTACTCGCACCACCACTCCTACTACTACTGCTACTGCCTGCCATGGCCTCTACCACTGTCCTACGTCATCGACAGCCGAGTGTGCAGGAGTCTCTCTCGCCGCACCAGCTTCGCGAGTTGGCTATCTGGTCAGGCAGCCCTGGTGGCGGAGCGAGCCGTGCTCGTCGGCGGAAGCCGCTTATGCCACACCAGCGTCGTGAGTGGGCTGTTTGGTGAGGCGGCCCCGGTGGCGGAGCCTGGGGTGCTACTACTAGAGGTACCTGTGATTCTACTCCTGCTGGTAGTGCCTCTTGTAGAATCGGAGGTTCTGAGGGTGGACAGCAGCAGCAGCAGCAGCGTCTGCCGGAGACTCTCTCCCCGCAGCAACTTTGTGAGTGGGCTGTTCGGTGGGGCAGCTCCGGTGGCGGAGCTTAGGGTAGTAGTGCTGGGGGTGGAGAGGCACCTGGTGGTGTAGAGGCTACTAGTCTAGGTGCTTGTGACTCAGCTAGCACAGGTGCAGAGTCTGAAGAGGCCTTGCACACTTTCCTACTCGACTCAAGCACGTCTCGCTGCTTCTTCCGCGACTGCACCACAGTCACACCGCTCACAACCCCTGTCCCTCTCACTCTGGCCAACCCCGCTGGTGGCCAAGTTGTTGCATGTAGCTCCACTGTTCTTCCGTGTCCCGCAGCCCCCTTTAATTCCCTCACAGGTTTCCACCTCCCCTCGTTCTCTACGAACTTGGTAGCTACAGCTGTCCTACAAGACCAGTTTGTCACTGTTACCCAGCCTAGGGGAGAGCTCGTGGCGATCTGTATGGACTCACACACTGGCGAGCACCTCGCTACGTTCTCTCGAAGGCCTAGGTCTGGTCTGTACACACTGACTACTGAGTCTGCACAGGTGGCTGAGCCAGGTCAAATAGCTGTGACGGTGTAGGTAGATGCGTCATGTTCGTGTCGTCTCCTCACTCACCAGACTCTCCACTGGCACCACCGTCTTGGTCACCCCTCCTTGCCACGCCTGCGTGGCATGCACTCCCGTCTCCTTGTGTCAGGCCTCCCCAGGTCCCTGCCCCCGTTCCCGAGGTCGCTTGCGCCGCCGTGCCTTCCCTGCGTCGAGGGGCGGCAGCGTGCTCCTTACTCCTCTTCTTTTCCTCCGACCATCGCTCCTCCGCAGACCCTTCACATGGACGTGTTGGGTCCAGCCCACGTCACTGGACAGGGCGGAGAGAGCTACTTTTTGCTAGTTGTTGACGACTACACACGCTACACCACGGTCTTCCCCTTGCAGAGCAAGGCGGATGTCTGCCGTGTGTTGATCCGTTGGATCCGTGCTGTTCGTCGCCAGCTCAGCACTCTGTTTCGGCAGTCCCGGTCCTGCGGCTGCACTCTGACTGAGTTTTGCTCCCGCCTCCTCGAGAACTTATGTGGTGCTGAGGGCATCCACCAGAGGTACACACTTCCGGCCTCTCCGCAGCAGAATGGGATTGCTGAGCGTCGCATTGGCTTGGTCATGGAGGTTGCTCGCACCTCCATGATCCATGCAGCTGCTCCCCATTTTCTGTGGCCGTTTGCGGTCCAATACGCCGCTGAGCAGCTCAACCTTTAGCCCCTTCTCTCCCACCCGGAGACCTCCCCTACTGTGCGGTAGACGAGGGAGGTTGGTGATGCG